GAGGAGGGGAGGAGGAGGAGGAAGAAGAGAGGAGGGGAGGAGGAGGAGGACCAGGAGGAGGAAGAGGAGCAGAAGAAGGAAGAAGAGAGGAGGGGAGGAGGAGGAGCAGGAGGGGAGGAGGAGCAGGAGGAGGAAGAAGAGAGGAAGAGGAGCAGGAGGAGGAAGAAGAGAGGAGGGGGAGGAGCAGGAGGGGAGGAGGAGGAAGAAGAGAGGAGGAGGAGGGGGAGGAGGAGAAGGTGGTAGAAAGGGAGGGGAGAGAGATGAGGAAATGTAAGGGGAGAGTGGGGTCCCACGATTCCCTTCAAAGGCACACACCCAGTGACCTGAGGACTTTCCACTAGGCCCCATCTCTTGCAGGTTCACCACCTCCTGATAGCTCCATGCATCCTCTAACACACAGGCCTTAGAGGAATGCTTAAGATCCAAGCTCAAGCCCTGGAGATTTTCCAAAGTGGTTCCCCAAGCTGTAGGTAGAATGCAAAGCCCCTTGCAGCAAGGTCCCTCTGTCCCAGGCCCTGGGCTCTGCCTCTAGCCCTTTGGCAGCTTGGGGCCTCAGAGACCACTGCACCTTTCATCTGGGTTTCTTCTCCCAGGTCCCCAACTGTGACCTACTTTCACTGTTGCCTCCTTCCCAGCCCACTCCAGCATCCACTGTCCATTAATACATCTACTAAAATTCAATTAAACTTTCTTTCCCACAAAGTGGTCTACTTGATCATGAAGTTTTTAAAAATGTGACTGCTTCTGCTGAGAAGATTTTTGCTGCTTGGGTAAGGAGAGTGATTCCTTTGGTTCCCTTTGATTCAGCATTTGGTTGTCCCAGCTTTGCCACCTGACTTAGAGGATTCTTGTTTTTTCCTCCTTGTTCTGCATCAGTGTCCCTAGCCTGGACATTTCTTGCCCCTTCAAAGAGTTGAATGTTGAGAACTCCAGGACAGGTTGACCTTGGTTATTGCACTATTCCTGTGGCTACATTGAGGAATTTGGGGATTGATATTTTCCTACAAAACTCATCTGTTACATAAAAGTTTCTACATTTATCAACTCAGTATTACCTTATTATTTTCTTATAGGTTTTGGTGTCTGAGGTTTTCTCTACTCTTCTGTCTCTACCCTCATCTCTGTTGCATGGGGTTCAGTGTGGAGTGGGCCAGGGCAGGAAGACCAGAGACACACAGAGGGAAGAGGGGGCCTGAACCCCTCATCATGGGACCAAGGTTGGAAGGAGTTGGGAGGAGTGGGCTATGGAGGAGGACGAGTCTTATGGGCAGCTGGGTGGGTGGTGGCAACAATCTACCAAGAAGAGTCTGAAACAGGAAGAATAGGTCATGGAAGGAGGTGGAGATGGGACCTCAGACTAAGGACCACCTCCCCACCTCCTCAGCACAAGGCCAAGGTCCTCAGTCCCTAAGACTGGCTGGCCCGGAGGAAGGGGGGAGGGTGGTGGGCACCATGTGAGAACTCAGAGGGGTGGGCTTACTGAACTGACTGCACAGGTATGAGGCCCCCACAGCCCTGGGACTAGAAGATAGGCATGTCACCCCAATATGTTCAGAGCCTGAAATAGGAGTATGACTGGGGCCCATATATCAACCATGGAAACGTTAACAGGCCCAGGGCCCTCTGACTAGCTACCCCATACCTGCATTCTCTCCCTTCACCTTTGCAACCACCTTCCACCCTCTATGAATCCTGGAAGGCCTGTGCGGAGTCCTCAGACTCCAATTCTGACCCCAAACTTGGTGCCTGGGAGGACCTGTCCTTCAGCTTATGCTGAGGCTGTGCATGAACTCACGTGGTCACTTGTGGACTCCCAGCCCCCCACCCCATTCCAGCTCCATACACATGCCATGCCACCCACAAATAGCCACTTAAGGAGGAAGTCAGGGTCAAGGGCCCTCAGGCCTTGCTGGTGGTCTCAGGGCTCTCTGGGCAGGAAATTCCCAGATTCCAAGTTCCCAGAGTGTGGTCCTGAAGGGGAGACCATGTCCAGGGGCCCGTGGGTTCACCTCTTAGCCCTTGGGTCCCCGGGTCATGTATGAAGAGCTGGATTTGGGCCAAGGTAGGGCCCTCAAAAGCAAGGGCCCCTGACGTCCCAGGCCTGAGTCTAAGGCTATCACCAGAAGGAGCAACTGTATCAGACACACAATAAATCGAAGAAACAGCCGTTTTTAAGTGAAGCCCTTATTGTTTATTTTTCAATAAACAAGGTTTTTTGCATGTCTGGTGCTGAAGTAAACGGAAAAGCTAAAAAGAGCGCTAAGGACATTTTTAACATTTTGGTTACAGAATTATAACTCCTCCTCCTCCTCCTCTCTTAATTTGGGACCGAATTAGTGAACATGTCTCAAACCGCTGTCTTTGAGCTTCTCCGTTTGTTTGTTTTTTTTTTCGTAAACTACACACTACACCAAACACACGAAGTGTGAATGGGCAGTCAAAAATACCGACACTCTCAGCAGATCTGGTTAAGCCATAAGGACATGGAATGGACCATATCTGCGTACGTGAAGACCGTGGCGAGGCTGCTAGCGCTGCTCTGACCGCACCGTGGGTGCGTGCAGGTGGACGCTGTGGAATTTGGGTGGGGCGGCCTCATCGTGTGCTGGTAAGAGATGGTTTGTCACGTGGGGAAGTGAGGGTGGCACTCTAAGGGAGGAGTCTGTTCAGGACTCTCCACTCCCACGGCATTTTACCTGCACTGCGCTTGGCAAACCCTGGAGACACCTGCGTGTCCCCTCCCCTCCCAGACTGTCCCCCTCAGCCTGCGCGTCCCGCAGCTCCCCGCACACTGCCTTACACTCAGCAGGTGCTTGGAAATGCTCCCTGATCAGATGAATGGTGGATGATGAATCCGTGAAAGGATGAGGAGTTGTCAAGGATAAATAGCCGGACCTCTTTGTCGTCAGGGGACTCGGCTATTCTCTACAACACATAGAGTGAAAAGAAAAAATGGAGTAGAGAACTTGATTGTTTCGTCCAATCTTAGAATTTCACGTTGGGGAAACTGAGGAACAGAATCGTTAGCGGTCTCGGTCAAGGTCTCACGCTGAGAGAGGCCAGAGGGTGTACCAGACGCCCGCCTGACACATGCCAACAATTCTTTTTTTGTATTTTTTTTCTTCAAACAAATTCAAAATGAGATGCGATGACGACTTGTAGTGTGGAGAAGGATGAGGGCCTGGGGGGAGGGTTCTCAGAGATTGGGGACAGGGAGGTGGGAGGGCTGGGGTGAGGAGGGGAGGGAGGACCTATGGAGAGGGGGAGGAGCCTTGGAGGTGGGAGGGGTTTGGCAGTGAGGATATGGAAGGTGGCTGGAGTTTGGAGACTTAAGGGGAACTGTGGGGATGAGGGTGGGGAGGAGATGGGTAAAAGGGGGAGGGATTTCAGGGTGACTCTGGGAGGGGCGTGGGTAGAAGGGACTTGGCAGGGGGTGGATGATCAGGGACTTGGGGTAACCAGAGAGGGGAGGGGCTTGAGTGATGATAGACAAAGACTCATGATGGTAACTGAGAGGGTAGGTAATTTGGGGGCAATGCTAGTCAGGCTTTGAGTCGGGCTTTGAGTTGAAATGAGAAGATGACAAGGGACCCAGGGTATCGGTTGGGGGTTGATGAAGTCAATGATCTGTAAAGACGGTGACGCACAGGACCAATGGGCGAATGACTGAAGTTGTGTGGTGTGACTGTGATTTGAATGATGGTAGATGATGAAGGTGATGACTTGCAGGTAATACTTGGAGCAAGGTAAAAATGGCAGGTCATACTTAAAAAAGCTAAGACTATAGATTCTTATCCAGATCATTTAAGCAGCAAAATATTCCTAAGTGGTACCCAAGGGCTGTGTAGCTGCCCAACCTAAACAGTACTGGGCAGCTACACAGAGCTTATCCCCTTCCCATTTCTGCAAAAGATAGATGCTCTCTTTTAAAAAAATAAGTCAAATTCAAAATTCAGAAGCTGGTTAGGTCTTTCAGGATCTGAGAATTATCAACTCAGCAACACAAAGGTAAATCCATGGCTGCGTGGGCCAGGTCTTATACCACTTTTGCCATAGAACAAGAAAATGCCCCACAAGCAACAATTTCCACTAAACCCTGTGAAAACCTTGGTGAGGGCGGTGCTGCTTGCTCAGATTTTGCCAGGGGCACTTGTGGTTCAAGGTGCAGTTAAGTCTCAAAAGACATCTCTAATCTATAGAGTAGGAGGCAGGCATAGTATTGGGGTTTGGAGTGGGGTTGGGGTTGGGGACTTGCTGCCCAAGTGGCAGCTCCAGATGGCACATTATGACTCAAAGGGGCCAATTTTTCCCAAAGGGAAGTGAGCCAGGAGGCTCTCCACTTTGAAAAAAAATTTTTTTTTTAGTATCAATTTCAATATCAAGTGTGCCTCCAGGATAGGCCAAGACCTTTCGGATCCCAGGATGAGACTGAGTCTCCATCAGATCCTTAATCTTAGGGTCAGGAGGTGTTTTGGTACATACCCCTCGTTCCTAATTCTGAAATTTGGAGCCAGAGAGGACCTAGATGGTGGGTGTTCAAACCCCTCCTTGAGAGGGGTGAGAAGGTGGGCCCAGGGTTGGGATGGGGACTCGCCAAGGATCACACAGCGAGTTAATGGCAGGGCTGAGACAAAGTCCCAACCCCCCCCCACGCAGCCAACCTGGGGCTCTCTCTGCTTATCACACAGCCACTGCACTCTGTAAAGTCGCAAAGCAATTGGAAAGATCTAAGGGTTGCGATGTGAGGCTGGATGTGAGTGCAAGTCAGATGTGGCGTGTGAGAATTAACGAACGAAAGAGATTTTAGCCCTTTCACAGTGGGTGGTCATGCTCAGAACTCATTGCGGTTTCAGCAAGGACCCTGTAGCCGAGACCCCTGGAAGAGAGGCGTCGGGCACCAGAGTCCTGGTTCTGTTACCTTGTTTTTTTTTTGTCTTTTGATTATTTTTTTGATATTTGATATTTAGAGTTTAGAATAACATACTTATTTCTTTTACTTGTTTAAAGATGAAATTCTTATTATTCTCATTGTTATTTGTGATCATGCATTAATAAGAGAGAAAGAGGATTCTTTTAGCATAGCGTTTGTCACACAGCAACACAAAGACAATATATGTAAGCATAGCGTTCACCAGATTCAACACAAAAGATAGCAAGCTCCACCACAAAGATTAGCACAGACCGCGTATAGTGAGCTCTGCGGAACCCCGAGAATATAGAGGGGCCCATGGGAACGCTGCCTAGATCTCCTCCTCGCCAGCCTCCTTGCTGAAGGTGGTCATGTCGATCTTCTCCGGGAAGATGATGTTGACCGCCAGCTCCTCGCCACTGTTGTACTGAAGCAGCAGGTTCTTCTTCTTGCGTAGCATGTGGTTGTAGCGCAGGTTGGACACCCAGGCCTCACACTTGTTGAGAAAGACGATGCCCACGGTGCCCAGCACCACCAGGCTGGTGAGCACGCCGAGGATGGTGAAGCAGATGGCCTGGCCCTCGGTGAGGAGAGGGGTACTCTTGTTGAGCTCTTTCATGGATACCTTGAGGATGCGGTGCTCGGGCTGCGGCACTGGCAGCTCGTGCACCCCGGGGGTCAAGCGGTAGGTGAGCCCGTAGCTGCTGGGCAGGTGGGTGACCTGCGGGGGGCTCGCCCCACGCTTCTTCACGCAGGTGGGACCCGTGAACGGGGGCTTGCACAGACACTCGTAGCTCACCTGGGTGTGCTGCAGGCAGGTGCCCCCGTTCTGGCATGGGCTGCTGGCACAGTTGGTCACGGAGCGGCTGCAAGTCTTGTCGATGAAGCCAGCTGGGCAGCGGCAGCGGAAGTCGCCCCCGATGTCGGTGCAGACCCCGGCATTCTCACACGGGTTGGGGGTGCAGCTGTTGGCCACGATCTCGCAGAAGTTGCCTGAGAAGCCAGGGGGGCACAAGCAGGAGGCGTGGGAAGCCTGGCCCTCGTCATCCACGCAGGTGCCTCCATGCTGGCAGGGAGAACTGCAACACAATGGACAAGGTAAAGGGCCCTGGGGGCTGGGCTAGGACAGGGCTGCAGGGGGAGGGAGGGAGAGGCAGAGGTTTGGCTCCTCTTGTTGCAAGGTGAAAAGGGCGGTGCTCCCAACAGGTCAGGTGAGGGAATGCACCTGGAGAATGCCAGCCAGGAACACACCTGGGACTAAAACTCTGACTGTGAGGGCTCAAGGATGGGGTACACACCTCACCCTATCATGATGCCAATATGGAATGCACCTGACCTCCCATACCGGGAAGCCCACATCCTCTCCCACCTCTTACTTCATCTCACTGGCCAGAACAGAAGACTGATGGTTAGTCACTAGGCAGATGGGGAAACTGAGCCTGGCAGAGGAATCATCAAGTGACAGTTCAAGTCTGGAGCAAGACTCCTCCCTTAGCTCAGACCCCAGGCTGCTGAGGCAGAACCAAGCAGGGAGGAGCATCTCTCACAATTTCCCAGATGGATCTGCTGCCCTTGCTGGAGGTTATGTCTTCAACCCACCCCACCCCCATTATTATTTTTATTTCCAGAGGAGTGGGACTACTGGCTATTGTGAAGGAAGCCCTTGGGGACTCTCCGAGTGAAAGAAATATGGGTTCTGTCTATGCTGGCATGCGGTGTCTGTTAGGGGCTGTTTAACAGTGGGCCATTCACCCAAGTGCAGCTTGCAAACCAGAGCACATGGAGCATTTAATGTAAGTGCTGTTAAAGGAGCAAGCCCTTTGTCATCTGATAAATGCCCAAACTCCAGGGAAGAAAGGGGCTGTAAACACAAGAAATCAGCATTGCTGCTCAGGGGCCCAGGCTGAGTTGCAGCTGAGCTCTGAAGGAATTTCACGGACCTGGGGCTCTATTTTGACAGACTGATTCAAGTCTCTTAGTGAAAACAGCAAAGTATTTTAAAGGTTTCATCTGATTTTTTGTTTGTTTTTCCTTCTTGCCAATAAGTAGCAATAGGCTTCAGTTGTCACCTCTTAGACTGACCCCCTTCTATATACTAATCTTTAGAGTGCAAGGTCATGTTTGTTTGCAGCTTCTGCAGGTTCCTGGGTTCTCTTTGCCATCTTAGAAGCAGAGGCAAGATGAGCTCATTTTGGAAGGACACCATAGCCCCCAGCTGTAACCCAGGACTGAGTTCCCTCCTTTGGGTTCTTGAAGTTGGACTCTGCCTCTGTGGCCATCCCCTCTGGCCTCAGTGTAAGACCCATCCAAGGGTGAGAAGTACAGGGCTCTGCACAGCTATACACATAAGGACCTAAGGACCTTCTGTGGCTGAGCTGCTAGAAAGTTCTGCTTGGCCAGGAGTCCTGGAGCCCCCTCCCCTCTCTCCTCACCTCCTCAACCTGGCAGCTCCCTCCCCAGACATCCCACAAAATTCAACTGCAGTGCCCACAAGGTCCCCAAACCAACAGCCCCCTGCAACATGGTAAATGGGTTTCACAAACACCCTGGCTCTGCTGAACTCTGATCCCTCACCATGTTGCCTTTACAAAAATTAATGCAGCTCTGAGTTTCTTTCCCTACCCCAATCTACTGTTATTCACACACATCAGGACTTGGCAACACCAGGGGAATATGAAATTGCCTTCAGGATCATTTGAAAAATTATGGAAATGATGCATTCCTCCCTTCATAATGGCCCATCAGAGCAGCATCCCCCCCACTGCCCGGGGTTGCCAGGAGCACTTACTTCTTTTGTCATGGACAGGTCCAACAGGGTCAGGCTGAAAGGATCTTTAGGGGTGAGAAGCAGACCTCAAAAGCAGCATTGATTTGATCCCACAGGGTGAGGAAAGATATTTACCCATTGATCACACAGGGCCCATCCTTTTTCTGGCAGTCCTTTCCAGAGTACCCAGGGATGCAGGAGCACTCATAGTCACCATCACTGAGGTTCATGCAGGTTCCGTTGTTGGCACAGGGGGTTGAGGTGCAAGCCTGGACACCTGGGGGCGGGGGTGGGCAGAGAAAAAACAGACCTTAGCTTTCCCTCCAAAGGCCAATGTGAAAGGGACCCCAAACGGCTCTGCTTGTGGCTATCAAGTGGGGTTCACAGTAAGAAGGTACAGTGACTTCCCCAGCCCCCCAAAACCAGGACGTGAATAAGCTGAGGGTTGGGAAACTAAAGTAGTTTACTTGTGTCACGTCACACGTCAGAAAGCAACAGTCACCAACATTCAACACAGACAGCTGCACCCTTGTCCTGGCACCCCTTAAGTGCTGCAATTGCTCATGACCTTTACTGCAGACACCATGCCCCTCACTAAAAACAGCTAGGCAAGCTGAGATACCCTAAGGCCTGTCTCCTCCCACCCGGCTTACCATGCTTAGGGAGAGGGGAGTCTTTACCACGGGGGATCTAGGCCAGACTGACACTTGACACTTGGAAACACACACACACACACACACACACACACACACACACACACACACACGCTCTTTACACTTTTCCCCCAAACATCCTTCTGGGGTGTGATTTAGCCCCAGCATTGCGTCTCCCACCCTGTGATCTTTCTACTGTCAGGTTCTGAACTAAAGGGGTCCAGGATAAAAGGATCATTTGAAGGCTGGAAAATTAGAACTATTATTCAGCACTCTCCTGTCCATGTGGGTTTCCATGAACACTGGTATATTTCCACTGTCTTTTAATACCTCCTGTTACACTCACTCCGTTATTCGTTATTCGGGATCAGCAAGCCTGGGATGAATTGAACAAAGGGGTCTAGGTCAGGTGTTCTCTGATGAAGGAGACCCCCAGCAGGGCCAGGAAGGGATCTTTCCAGTGGCTGTTCCAATCTGCTGCTATGTGACAGCACAGTTCAGCTACTCCCTACTCTGTGCCTCAGTTTCCCTCCTTACAAAAGGAATGGCTATCCCTAGCTGATCCCTGAGGGTTTTCTATAACTTGTACTGTAAAAAGCCCAGGCAGGCTAGAGACTCAGCAAGTGAAGGCAGCCCTAGGGGTAGGGGGACAGGCTGGAGGGGAGGAGGATCCCTCCAGTGTGTAGATATTTTCCCTTTTTCAAAGAGATCCTCGCCCTGGTGGAGGGGAGACTGCAATCCATCAACTAGGGAAAGCCTGAGCACCACGCTGATGGGCTCTCCATGGGAGCCAGGAAACATAAAGAGGATTTATCTTTCTGGGATAGCACCGGCAAAGCATTAGCACACCAAGCCACCACTGCCGGCCCCTAATTCTCTGCCCCTGGCTCTCCTGTCACTCAAAATCTTAAATTTAACCTAAAGAGGTGCGGCCACCCCTGGCCTGGCCCTGCTCCTTTCCCTAAAATGCCAGGCCTGGTGAGCTGAGTACCAGCTCTTCTGAGCCTCAGACCCCAAAGCTGGGGTGCATTCAGCTGCTGCAAGAAGAAGGCTGGTGGGGGGGGGGTCTATGCTGGGACAGCAGCTGTGTCCTCGGCTTGCGAAATTACCCAGCAGCTATTCTCTTGCCGGACCCCAGACTCTCCATCCATCCCCAGGCAGGCAGCCTTTGTCAACCTGGTGGGGAGAGAATATACCGAGGGCCTTGTGGAGACAGTCTTTTGTCTGGAAAACTCCAGCAGTGGTGTTCTGTGTTTAGTTACCAAAGAGGGTAGGCTTCAGGCTAAAAGCCTATCCCTGATCCCAAAAGGTGGCTTTTCTGGGATGTCCTGGATGCCCAAGCAGCTCAGAGCTGCTGCTGCTGCTCGGAGGGGTTGCAGAGCTGTGGCCCTGAGTGAGCATGAGTCAGTTACAGAAGGAATCTTGCACCGTATTAGGGGGAGGGGGAGTAAGGACCAGAGACAATTTAAGATGGAAGCCCCTTTTGCTTCTCTGGGCCTCAGTTTCCCTATTTGTACCTACGGTCTTTGTTAATGTTGGGGAGAGAGGCTACTGCTGGGAGATTATTCTAGAAGTCAGTTTGCCTGGACTTTGGGGCAGGTTTTGCCAAATGAGAACGGGGGTTGCGATGAACATTTTTTGCAGCCTGACAAAGCTAGCTCTCAATTGCTGAGGGGGTGGGAGGAATGAATGACAAAGATCGAATAAATTAATGAAATCAACAGCTAACACCAATCTGCACTTTAACCCTTTCTCAGCCTCTCCCACCCTCAGCCTTTCTCACACCTAACCCCCCCCAGCCCTGTCCTCACTCAGCTCCTGCTCCCCACCACCACCACCACCACCACCACCACCACGCTTAGCACCACCCTCTCCCATTTGTTTGTTTGCTCCCCTTCTTTTCTGGCATCTAAGTCCTGAGATCCCCAATCTCCAGACCCTTTCCCATCTCAGTACTTCAGGGATCTACATAGGTCACCTGAGTCTGTGGTCCCACTGCTCCACTTGGCAATGTGTGTGGTGTGTGTTTATTTTGTGACACTTTATTCAACAGGCAGCCCCGAGCCCCCCTACCCCCATCTCTGAATGTGCTAGGGATGCAGAGGTGAGCAAAATTAAGTCCCTACCTTTGAGTAGGTATTCAGCACCAGCAGGGAGTACACATACACACAGACAGACCCTTACAAGAAAGGGCCCTAGTTGTGCCCCAAAAAGTCCTGCCCAAAGGGGAGGGGAGGCATATGCGGTTGGGGGAGGTCAGAGAGCAGAGTGATGGTGTGATGGCAGGTAAGGGCGAGTCCCCACCTATGTCGCAGAGTTTCCCATCCCAGCCGTCCTTGCAAATGCACTGCCAGGGTTCTTCGCAGAGTCCATTAACGCAGCCAGGAGAGGTCACACACTGGTCACACAGGGGACCCTGCCAACCAGGCTGGCACCTGTAGGGGGTGGGGGGACAGGGAGAAAGATGGGGACATATGAGAGGGGAAGGGGTTCGGAGAGGGCTAAGGCAGGCTGCTTTCTGTAGAACCAGCAGCCCTTGGGGGTCTCTATATAGTGGCAGGCCAGGGGTCCTGGAAGCAAACACCAATCACTTGAACAGAAAACTCAGAGAACGCACTGAGGGGCAGGCACAGAGGGGACCCCAAGAGCACAGGAGAACTGCATTTTGCCGCAGTGGACCGCAGTGGTCTCACCCTGCACCAGGCTCTCCACCCCCCCCCCACCTCCTTTCTTCTCCTCTCTCCCCCCACCAGTTTTCTGCAGGAGTGAGGAAGCTGTGACGCAGTTTTGTGGCCAAGGCATCCATTTTTCACCCAACTCCCCATTACTCTGCCCCAGCCCCACGAGCTGCGTCCATTACCTGCAAACATTGTCATCCTCACAGAATCCATTTTTAGGGTCGCAGGCCGGGAAGCATTCAGCTCCTGAGGCACAAAAAAAAGGTTACACAATTCACCCCACAAGGCCCTGGGAGCAAGGCAAAGCCCATCATCTCTCAAATGACCAACTGCCCCCCCCCAGATGGGTAATATGACCCTCTTGGGTCCTACCGATGTGGCACACAGTAGGCACCTCTCATCTGTGGATGGATAAAAATGCCCTGCCATGTTCCTAGCTATGGGATGACCACAGTACACTCTTTCTTCCCTAAAATCAACACAGACACCTTTTTCCCATAGAAAATAGGAAACCTCCAATCCTCTAAAAGTGGGGATGGGGAGAGTAACAGGGAAAACCTTTGACCTTTAGGCATTCAGTCAAATCCTTAGTTTTACAAAGAGAGATAAAAGGGGGAGCAGATTTTGAGGTGTTCAGCTCTGGGAAAACCCAGACAGGTTCACCTGGCCGGGTCACAGGTAAAACGTCTGGATTTTTTTTTTTAGGTTAATCCCAGTTAAACCAAGCAATCAAGTCAGATCTCCCCCATCCCCCTACCCCGCACTTCAAGGTAAAAGAACGACGCAAGAGCTTTGCAGAGCGGCTGAGATTCCAACACTGTTAAGGGACGCTTTAATAGGCACCTACTGTATGCATTTACTCAACCAGCCTTCCAGACAGCCCCTCTGCCAGCACTGGCGCAGTTGGGGGGGGGCGCTGCGGGAAGGGGGCAACTCTCCCGCTGCCAGAAACAGATGGCCGCTGCAGACAGAAGCGTCGCAGCCCCTCACCTAGATAAACGCGCCACGCAGGAAGGGCTCAGACTGTGCTCCTGTTGGGAATTGGGGGCTACGGCAAAGTCAGCCCTCCAGGGTCCCCCAAACCTATTCCCGAAAACGCACTCAGGGACACCCCCAAAGTTGCACCCCAGAGCATTTTTACACAAGACCTCCCAGCATCGCCTCGTTTTTTTCATACCTCCTTAATCCGCGCAACGACACCCCTCCGAACGCCACTTCTGCAGGGTTGATAGGGGCTGGGGTCCCACACCTCCCCTGCCCCCTGGGGACCCCAGGGCCGGGCTTGGCACGCAAGGGTGGCGGGGAAGGTAAGGCAGGCACCGCGCGAGGCTTAGGGTTAGGCGGGACAGGCGAGCGGGAGTTGGGGCGCTTGGGACGGGGCGCGCGGGGCACGGGGCGGCTGGCGGGGCATCGCAGGCTTCCCCAGAGGGGGCGCGAGCCAGGCCGCCGGGGGTCTCACCATGAGTGCTGTGGCCGGTAGCCAGCAGGAGCAAGAGGACGCGCAGGAGGGCTTCGGTCGCGGTCATCGCGGGGCGGCCGGGGTCGCGGTCCCGGGAGCGGCGCGGGCGCAGATCCGGCTCCTGGAGCTGCGCTGGGCTTCTGGTTGCGGACGCTGAAGGGGGCGCGGGCGCGCGGCGAGGGGAAAGCCAGGGCTGCACCGGGCTGCGCACTGCTCTCCACCGCCGCCGCCGAGGAGCTGCCGCCGCCGCCGCGCGCGCCGCCCTTTTCGTACCGCCTCCCCCCCCCCTCCGCGCGGCCCCCGCCCCCGCCCCCGCCTTGTGCGCACGGGGCCGGCGCCGGCCAGTCCCGGTGACCCCCGCCCCTCGCAGGGCCGCCCCCCACTACTGCGGCGCCCGGAAGCCCGCTCACGCACCCCAGCGCACTCTTGGCTAGACGGGTACCTGCGCACGATTAGCACACGTTCCCCAACAGGACAGTACACGGGCGTGCCCACGCAGGCCCGCTTAGGACAAGTGGCAGGAATGGAGCCCGTGTCAGGCTGCAGACCCCCAGGAAAACGCAAGCACACACTCGGAATACAGAGACGCTCACAAAAACACTAGGACACCCATTGCCAATGTCCCGAGCACGCGTGCCTCGAGTCATAAGCCGAGAAGAACCCAAATGCACACTACGAAGACATGGAAGACGCACATGACCACACACGCACCCAGGAAAGCAGCTAAGAAAAGCGTTATGCCCTCGGTACTCCCGGCCATTGAGGGGTCGGGGAGTGAGGACGTACTTGTTGGGACACCCACCCCACAACCCTGACACACCCTGCAACCCAAACACACCACTGAAGGGGCACGGGTCACGACCCCCCAGCACCTCAGGCCTGTCACAGACACGAGGAAGCGGATATACAGCTGTAAAACCTAGGGCATCCTCCGCACATGCGGTCACGTCCTACTTCACACAGAAGCACGAACAGAGCACATGCACACCCAAACACACTACGCCTGCAACTGCACTGACGCCCTGCGTATTCAGGAACACCCACGCATGCCAGTGTCACAGCCTGGGCCTTAGTCACACTGGAACATAAACACATACACTCTCTCCAACAAGTACAACCTGGTATCTGCAAGCACCTTTACGTAGTCCCCAAAGCACAAATCATAGATTCTTGGTCACGTGCTTAGAGAAACATTCAAAATCACCCAACACACACACACACACACAAACTCGAAGCCTTCTTTGTCCACAGTGATACGTGTTGACAACCTCACAAATACACTCACGCTTACACACAGTTGCACACCAGGCACTCGGCAGTATTCCAGACCCACTGGGATGCTTACAGCCGGTGGCTGGTAGAGGGGAGGCGCTAACCCAGCCAGATACTTGCCCCCTTTATTGAGCTCCTGGAGAAGGGGCCTTCCCAGGCATTGCCCCTCCCCACCAGCCCCCAGTCTTGGATTAGACCATGGCTTGGACAGAGCCCTCTCCCCCAAGATGCTCAGAAAGACAGGGAGGGAGAGGGAGGGGGAGACTAAAGTCATCTTTTAACCTCTCAGGGAAGGAGGTCAGGATTTCAGGATGGGTCATCCATGGATGATTAATTTGCATAGATTAATTTGCATATAGATCCCAGGTGCAGTGCAGTGAGCTGGTGCCTGCCCAGTCACAGCCTCCTCTTCTCCACAGTAAGGAGGAAGGTGTCTTTGCTTCTTTGAACCTGGGGGTGAGTACTTTGGGGGAACCATATGACTGTACCCTGGCAGGTTTGAGGACACATTTGCCATCTTAAGGGATAGGTGTGGAAAGGCCCACCAGTGGAGCCCCCAGGGCTAGTACTTCTGGAAGGCAAATTGGGGATGGACGCAAGGCTGCTCTGGGTTGGCTGTGCTCTGAGGAGGCTGGAGGGAAACCGAAGCACCCTGTGGAACAAGTCCTTTCCCTGACATTCCCCCCAGAAGACCTAGATGAGTGGGGGTTGTTAGGAGTGATTTGGGGCCAGGCTGGAGGGACAGTCAGGGTGCCCACCACTAGCCCCTGCATCTCTGTGGCCCCACTGTCTTTCCCAAACCTCTTCCTCAAGTTAGTAAACTGAGTCCGGCGTAGTAGGTCTTTCGCCCAAGGCCCCTCGATAGAATGAGAGGGAGACAGTGGCCCTCAGACCCATTCCGTGAGGTTCCATCCATTGGGCACTGCACTGATCACGAAGGTCTCCTTGGCCCTCCCTCCTCTCTTCCCTCCTTTTGAGGTCCCTGATCTCAGCCTCCACATTTATCCCATGGGCAGATTGGGATGGCTGGCTTTTCAGCCAGAAGCTGAGAAGGGCCAAGGATCTTGGGGCTGGGCCACCCTGGGTGAGGGCTCCCCAGGATCCTGTCCAAGTCATATGGAGAAGTTGGGGACTACATAAAGCAGGAAGGGGCCCCAATGGCAGTGTGCTGCCCCACCTAGACTCCTTCTTCCCCACTCAGGTTCCTTCCTGCCTCCTCCCTCCCCAGTTTTGGAAAGGGGGGGGACATCCTCACTCAAGAGAGTCAGAGTACAAATGTCACAGGCTTCAACTGAAAGGCCACTACCTTGGCTGAGGGGCATGTCCTCTGTAATCCCAGCTACATCCTGTGCCTGCTGCGGGCCCAGGGCCAGTCAGTTCCTTCTCTGAGCCCTGTTTCCTTGACTATGTGCAGGGATGACCTACTTGTCCCCAAAGGGAACTTGGGTTTTATAAGCAGAAAAGCTCTGTGCTTAAGAGGCCAGACCACAGCCCATTCCAGCCCTTTCTCCACAGAGACATGGGCTTCTGTCCCAGCCATCTAGAGGGGTCTGAAAGGAGAGCAGGTAAAGGCCTATTGACCTGGGCCCACTTCGTGAGCCACTGGCAGGGCTACTGCTAGAGGTAGGAAGGGACTTCCCTCTGGCAGGACCTACAGGCCAAGGGGCTTTATGTTGTTTGCTCTGGTCTCAATAAAGCAGTTGTTAAATTCTGTAGGCTGAAGATTTCTTTGTAGCAAGCCTATGCTGAGAAAGGGTAGCTTAGGAGCATTAGGGAGGGGAGGTTGGGGACTGTCACAGACTCCAAGGCTGCACAGAAAGCATGAAAATGCCAATCCAGTCCCTGGGGGAGAAGTCGGCATAGTCTGTTGTTTGCATCAAATCCTAGGGGCTGCAAAGTCACGGCCCCCTCCTCTGTCTGTGTGTCCTCCCTCCTCATACAGAGAACCTGTGCAGCTGCCTCAGACTACAGAGGGAGGCCAGCAGCCCCTTTCTGGAAAATGCTCTGCCCACCCCACCACAGCATGGTGTGGTGACGTGGTGACATAGCAGGAAGTAGACCCGCCAACTATTGGGTCTCATTGGAACACTGCGCCTGGGCTTCTTTCCTTGGAGCTGGTTTCCTTGCTAATGACTCTGTTTGCAGCCCCCAGCCCCAGGCTGCAGGGGAAGAAAGCAAGTAGAATCTGCTCAGAGGCCCACAGAAGCCCAGCAAAAGAGCTGGGGATGGGTGAAAGTTTTCTGAGGGAACCAGAAAACCCTCAGGCTCGCTCCCTCCCCCATCCTCCTTCTCCAAACCCTATCACCCACCCCCTACTCCCCCCACCCCCAGCCTGCACCAGATCACTTGGCCCTTGATTAAAGACAAAATTGCTGATCAGGGAAGCTCAGCAGGATGGAGCTAGAGGGAAGTCTGAGGCAAGTTTCTCCTGGAGTGCACAATGGGGGCAGGGCAGCTGGGGGACTTCACCCCACCTGGACACCCTGCCTTCCTCTTTGCCCCATCATGCTGACATTCAGAATTTCCCTGTTCTAGAAGCTTTGTTTCTGTTACACTGGGTGTTAGGGAAAAGGTGTCTGGAAACCTGAGTTGTGGTTTTTCTGGAGGTGTCTGAGTCCCCACTGATCCAATCCTAGTGAGTGGGACATTGTACAGACAGGGAAACTGAGGCCCAGTGAGGTCTCACAGACTTCTTTGTCCTTCTTCCCACACACCATACACCCTGTCTGCTATTCTTCCCAAAATGGGGTCCTTCCTCAGAGAGGCAGTGCCTATTAGAGTCCTGGAACTGCACCCAGCAGTCAGCCAGCAGCAGCTGAACCCCCAAGGGCTCACAGGCACTGCCTCCCTCAGACTTCTTCCATTTAGATTCCAGTTTAGACCAGCTCACCAGAGCTCCTTATAACGTGGGCCACTCAAGGCTACAAGGCCATTTCACAGCTGAGCACCTGAGACTAAAAAGACTTCCAGGTGCCTTCGGCTAGGGAGTAGCAAGCAGAGCTGGAATTCGAACCCGGGGCCGACTCCAATCCAACTACTGAGCTCTCTGCTGAGAAAAGTGGTAAAGTGAATGGGGCCCTGAGGAACTCAAAGCCCAGCGTCCCCTCTTAGGGTGGGAGGGGGTGATTCAGCCACCTTGCTCGCTGTGAAGGCTTTATGCAAACACCAGATACAGTTAGGCTCAAGAACATGACGATATGGTTTCAAGTTCAATCACAAGGAAGACTCTTCAGTCTCAAGTGGCAGCTTGCTCAACCAGCAGGGAACATGGCCTCGGAGGTGCACACCCCGGGTGGGCCCCGTGCGTGGGGCCTGGCGAGCTTGTGACAGCCCCAGACCCACTGCAGAGTGCTCCAGGGCTGCAGGGGGGTGGTGCAGAGGGGTGCAGAGCCCGCATGCATACGCATCCCTGGTCCCCAGAACAGGTCTGTGCGTGATGCAGAGGAGAAAGAGCTGGGCTTCAACGGAAAAACACCAGAGAGCGCACGGAAACTCTTGGAGCTGTGTCCATATTTAGTGTTGGTTTCTGCAGGGTGGCACCTCTCCCAAACGCCACCAATTTCTCATCATCGATGATAAGATTCAAAAATAGATTTCTCACTTCCGTCCTCACCATTGGAATCGACGTGGATGTCAAGTTCATGAGTCTAATGGTCCACGTCATCAAATTATCCTCTCAAAGGAAGCCACTGAGTCATGCTGCATGTGGGGAGCTCTTAGGGTCTCTGGAAGGGTTAATAGTGACTCCTTGCCCCACCCCCACACCTTGTAGGTAAACTCACCCCCAACCAGGAGGGAGGAAGTGGGGGACTAGAGGAAAAAGGAGTCTTTTCATCACTTCGCTTGTTCATGCAGGCTTTGGCAAAGACTACAGTAATTCTTCATTCATCAGAAATTCTCAGAAGTTAATTTTCCGTAAAACGGAGGCTCACCTCCTTAAATGTAGTCTTTCATCTGTCCA